AGTATTTCTATTTTTTTTTTTTTTTTTTTGTAGCGAAAGATATTTATTCAAGCAAACTTAAGAGTCATTACAAGCTGGGACTTACAAGCTGGGACTATGATAGGACACGAGGTTCCTAGCTTGTCCTTTTCAAAAGTAGAAACAACAAAAGGTGGCGGAACAAAATACAACATAGGATTTTAAAAAACAGTTGAGCTGCTTCCGTTCTTTGCCATAAGATCGGCGACTCCATTTGCTTCCCTGAACACATGTGTCATCGAAGGCTCCTTCGCTCTAGTTAGCATCCATCTGCAATCATTTATGAAATTTTGGTAGAGGCAAGAGTTGTTAGTAAGCATGTTGATTAAATCATTGCAATCTGTTTCAATTACTAATGGCGTGATATTTTTTTACAAAGCTATCCTTAAACCATGCATGAGTGCTAGGCATTCCACTACAAAAAAACAGCCTAAATTGCGGCGGTCAGTTCCAACCCCTGCAAATTTTATTAAATAGCAGGGGTTTAGTTAACCGACACAATATAAGTAGATAGCGGCAGCTCAAAACCTACGCCATCTGGAAAAAATTAGCGCTAACATTTCCCACACTTTTTTCTGTTTGCTCATTTTTTTTGGCTGTCACAAAATACAAATATAACAAAACTTGAAAAGCTCCTCCACTTCTCACTAACATTTTTCCACAACTCAAGGTAATGGTCTCAATTTTGAGAGATTAACTGAAATTCCATGCTTCTTTCTACTTTAATTTTCTTAAAATCAAAAGTTTTGTATGAATGAATTTCTCATTCTGTTTGTAAGATTTAAACTCAATCCTCATTTTTTCCTCTTTTTTCATCAATTTTCCTCACTTTTTGTCCCTATAGCAGTGGCATAGACATCTCTATCACTCACTCTGGCATAGCAATCGACAAGTATCTTTAATTATTGTAAGTTTTTTTACCCTATTTTTGGTTTTGTGTAATGTTATTTCTACATATATTTCATCTTCCCTATTTTTGGGTTTGTATAATCTGTAATTTCTATGTGTTTTTCAATTGCATGTGGCTTTAATTTTGTTTTTGTTGTTGCTTTGGGTACTTTCTGTTAGATTTGGGTTTTCTCTGTTTATTTGAGATTTTTTTGTTGAATTAGTAGGAAATATAAATGTTCTACACCATGTTGTATAAGGATTTATATAGGTGTGTATGGTGATTCTAAGGTTGGTGTTAGATTTCTTTTATATGCCTCTTTTTAGTATTGATGGTGTTGATTTTTTTCATGCTTCAGTTTTGAATTTAATTATGTTTCGGACTAATTTTTTTATTAAATGAATGCAATATGATGTGTTAAATTCTGTTAGAATAGTTCCCTTAAGAATTTTGTTAAGCTTGTTTGTGTATATCTTATTTTCTGCACCTTTTAGATTCTTGTTTTTGCAAATCTTTCTTGCTTGTATCCTTTACCATATGTACTTGCTTGGCCCCTCGAGACATGACTTGCTTCCCCCCCCCTCCCCCTCCCCGAGAAAAAATGTGAGAATTTGAATCAATGCAGGGACTGTAGTATCATCTCAGTAAAACTAACAACAGATTCCTTTCTTCTACATATAGCATCTCCACTTATGAAGCTAAAACAGAATTTATTCATAGCATCCTATGGGCACTTCTTAGATCAGAACACCATATTTTAGAATAAGACAGGGTTGCCATGTTTTATTAATTAATACCAAAAATTGTTAGCTATAGCGATAGCGACATTTCTGACTTGCACACCATTCTTCTATCTTGAAGTTTTTTGTGGATATGCTTTGCCTACTTATTAAATATATTCTTCCTGTAGCAAGATTAATTATTGAATTGCAGATATGTCTCGATCAATTCACTCAACGTCTCATTCAGCTCCGATGGATCAGCCCACATTGCACGCGGCTCCAACATTTCAGCTGGCATCACAGCCGTCTCAATCTGTTTACTCAACATCTCAGCTAGCTCCGATGGATCAAACTGCATCACAGCCGGCGCCGACAGTTTACTCTGCATCACTGCCATCTTGGTCAGTTCACTCAACATCACATCCGGCTCCAACACATCAGAACTCATCACAACCAGCTCCAACATTTCAGACTACATCTAGAAAGCATTCTGGGAGCCACTGGACTATAGAAGCAATACGTAAATACTTTTGACTATTAATGCATATTCAGCAGTCCCTTCTAAGCCTTTGTTCATCTCTCTCGCGGCTTCATCTTATCTCTTTTCTTATACAGATTCAGAAGAAAATGTGAAAAAACTCAAAGTGAAAGTCAAGGAAGTGCTAAATTTAACATGTGAAGAACGTATCGTGGTTGATTTTGATTACCTAGATGAACCATTTGGAGATGCACACAACCTACTTTCAGGCTTTTGTGAAATTTTAGCATGTGACTGCACTTTATTTCCAATCCATTATGAGAAATGGTCTAGTTTACCGTTGTCATACTTCAACCGCGTCTTCGATCAAATTATAAAGGTATAAGCTCTATATTCTTACAACTATATCACTGATTTTTTTTTGGAGAAGGACAACTATATCTCTATTTTGTCTTTTAACTTTACATTTGCATGTAATAGATATGCTAACAAATATTTTATTCTTGAAGCCCAAGTTCTTCTTTAAGACAACTGAGTCAGTTGCGCGGCAACATGTTTATAAATCTATTGGAAAGAAATGGGCTGCAAATAAGCTTAACTTGTGGAGTGCATATGAACACCCACTTAAAAGTAGAGCTGAGATTATTGATAATGTGTCGGATGGAGTTCCGCGGGATCAATGGATTTCTTTTGTTGATTACCAGTATAAAGAAGCAAAAGAAATATGCGTAAGTTTCTGTGAATTCTTAGCTTATCTCAAAAAAGAAATCATGAGGAATAAGGAGTAAGCTACATAACTGAAGCAGACTAATGCTGGTCTTTGTATCGAAAAACTTGATCATTTGAGATCACAAATGTATTGAAAGACTTATTGCATGCCTTATAGAAACTTGTCATCAGCCTAAACAAGTGAATTAGCTAACTCTGTCCATTTCCTATATCACTTCTTCTATTTCATATCAGTCATAGGAAATTCAATACCCTACTTTTCCATTCTTACTCATGGTGATTCTCGTTATTCGTCAACTATCAATTTGAACTCTAACTGCCAACTTACTCAAACAAGTTTATGGAAAAGGGAGCCAAGAAATGTCTCTTTACATATTTCATGCTTCACAAATTGGACCCAAACTAAAAAACGTACTAAAAATATTTCTCAAGAATCAGTTGGCAAAAATTGAGTTTTGTATTGGTTTACATATTCCTATTGGTTTAATTAGTCTCTTTACATATTCCTATTAGTTTAATTGTAATAATGAGTTTTGTATGTGTAGGAAAAAATTGAAATATCTTTGAGCCAAAGCACCATGGACGAATCTCAAATTTTTCCAAATGATGCCGTTGGTAAGGTGCTAGTAAAAGAGCACTCTGGAAGGGTGCGGTACTTGGGATTAGGACCTGTCCCCAGTAGAGTTTTTAAACAAGTAAGACCTCGTTTTGGTGGTACAAGTGCTTCAAGTAGTGAAGGTTCATGTTCGTCCCAATGCCAACAGAACCTTATTCAAATAATGAATGCTCACAATCAAATGATGAATGCTCTCAATCAAATGATGAATGCTTTCAAGGCATATATGATAATGAAAGAAGGGACAATACCAAAACAGTTTGCGGGGTTCTTCGCTTCTCCTTCGACTATTTCTCCCACAACAGTAAGTAAAGTTCTTCAATTTTTTCCACTTAAATTTGTTTGTTTGCAAAGATAGAGTGGCTTAGGTTAGTCCTATTCTTGTAGAACCTAGAGTTACTGCATTGTCTGATTTGGGCATAATTTTATAAAATTAGGAGCATAATGTGCAATATATCTGCACAAACATCTTTTTTCTCAGTCCTTCTAATAGCTAGTTAGCATTCTTCTTATAGTTAATTTGATATAATAGTGTATGCATTCCAGGTAAATATCTATACTATTTCCAAGCTTTGTGATGATTGGTATATGGAAGGTGATAATTGCAAATTATATTCTGCCGAATGTGGACTGATTATCAAGAATTTGTGGGGTTATATAAGGATAATGATCTAACATGATTACTCAATTTAAGAGCAGTAGCATGGGTGATATTATTGTTAGTATACGCATAGGATAAAAACTCCTAGAAGTTTGAGTACCAATATAATTATCCAAGAGATTGAGACTATAAATTATGTGTGTATATATATATATATAGTTTTGCTCGAGTTGAGTAGTTTTCAGGGACTATAGCTTTGGTAGGAATTAAATAACTACGTAAAATAATGGGAAGGTACTTAGATAGTCCTGATATAAGCTTTGCCTACACCAAAAGGACAAACGTATTCACCCTCTTTTACTTTGAATTACCCTTGTGAGAATAGCCAGAAGTACACAAAGACTACTCTTTAGCTAATGGAAGCAAATAATATTTTACTGTTATTTTCCCTCACCTTGGAATTAACCATACGGTTGTCGAACCAATAAAGAAAAAAGGGAGAGCCAAGATTGGTGGAATAGAAATAAACCATGAAACATGAAAAAAGCCTGTTCTTTCTTGTAGTTTTGTTTTCAAGAGAGAATAATGGGAACACAATCTTATTGACTAACAAAAAGCTCTCAAACCAATTCTTTCAATAGGTTGCAATTATAAAACTATAGCTAATACCAAGTTTGTGAAACTAGTTAATGAGATTGTTTTGATTTTTGTTTCTCAGTCATTCATCCTTTGGAGCAGATCGGAAGATGTGTGGATCAGTCTGATAGAAAACAATCTCCCCGAAATCGCTAACATAATGATCCTGCTTCATGCTTACCTAGGCAATAAGAGTTGAGCTTGAGATCAAATAAGATTATATTTTCATGTTTGCTTTACATATACAGTAGTAACTAAACATCTTTTTATTTTATTTTTTATTACGGTAATGTCCAACTTGCATTTTGCATGGGGTTGTTTGTTCCCCCTAACTTTTCACATTTTAACCTTTTATTTTTAGAAATGCACGCTTTCGCCTCTTATAGAATTTTTATACTTTGCTTTTCTTTTTATGCAGCCAAGTGATGTGGACAATGGACCCCTTTCGCCCATGGGCGCAAGAAGATCATGCGGTGATAGTAATTCTAGTGACAACCGTTGATTTTATTGTAGTTGTCTTAAATAATTAATTGTGACAATATAGTTAGGTGGTTGGAGTTAGAATGTTGGAGTGAATGTTTTGTGTTTAAATTTGGTTTTTGAGTCTAGTGATGCTACTTAATGTTGACAATTTAGTTTTAAAGACTAATGATATTTTATGGTTTTATGATATGTTATGGATTTCTCTTAACTTTAAAATATATTTTTTTTGCCTTGATAGTGATTTACAACTTAATTAGTGATTTTGTCAATAATATATGAATTCAAAAAATTTAATGAATCTGAGGTTATGACTGCATGTGCTTTAAATATAAGCTAAAAAAATTTAAAAATTATATTGAGGAGGTTTCAAACCACCACAATTCGCAATTGAAAATTATTTTAGAAAGATTAAAATTTTAGATTTGTGGGGGTCAACCGCCGCTACTTAGTTCTGGCGGTCGGCAAAAAACTGTCGCAAATTGATTGTGGCGACTCTTATCGTGGGGGTTTTAGCGACTGCCGTAACAACATATTGCGGGGGTTTTAGCCGCCTCAAACCTAAAAAATAACCCCCGCAATTAGGCCCTTTTTTGTAGTGATTCCATGTAGATACTGGTTGCATAGGGTACAGACATGTTGAAGCCCAGGATCCAATTACTATCATTATTCCTAAATACACCACAAATACCCCCTTTTCCTGGATTGCCGATGCATGAACCATCTATATTTAGCTTGAATAACCCTATATATGGTGGCTTCCACTTTATGTAGATAGTCATCTTTGGGCATGTCATCTTTTTAGAATCCATTAGCATTTTGTATTGCATTGTGTTATTGATAATGTGCCCTAATTGGAGTGAATTTTTTGTTGTTGAATATTCTGGTGTTCCTGTGTAGCCAGATGCACCATTGATGAAGGGAAAGATATCAGCCCTTTCCATGTATCTATTGAATTTAGCTTTGGATTGGCATTGTAATTTTATCCATTTGTGCATAGTGAAGTCATTATGAGGTTGGTTTGGATATTTGTAAGTATTATCCAATTGATCCCAAATTGATTTTAAATGGAGACAATTAAAGAAAATATGCTCCAGATCCTCTTCTTCAGACCTGCAGATGCCACATAGACTAGATGCAATAATTTTCCTATTAAAGAGCATTTTTGCTATTGGAAGTCTGTTACGAACTATTGTCCGGAGGAATATTTTTATTTTATTAAGCGTGTTAAGCTTCCACAACCAAGTATAGTCTACTAGATTTTCATCCGTATCTATATGATTTGCGATAATATGATAGGCTACCTTTGTAGAAAAATCATCGTTTGATTCCTTAACCCAAATGTACTTGTCTATAGGTTGTTGAATTTGTTTTATATAGGTACTAAAAATTTTGTTACAAATGTTGTTAGGTAGCTCGAAGGAGAGATTGTTTAAATTAATAGAGCCACCAATGAGAATGTTTGTTCAGTGAAATTGTTGTTCATTATTAGTTAAGGGGCCATGGATTAGAGTTCTTAAGAGCGCTGAGTTATTTATCAAGCATCTTGCCATACATTAATAGATTCCCCGTTACCCACTTCCCATTGAATACTTCTTTCACAAACTTCGCTTCCAATTACTATATTTTTCCAAATGTGAGAGCCCCTTTTATTAAGGGTACTCCATTTATTATTGTGTGTATTGTTATTATACTTGCTTTGAAGGACTCGAGCCCAAAGAGAATCTTTCTCCATTACGTACCTCCATGCTAGGGCTGCATTAAAGGATTGATTTTTTCATTTTGATTTGTATAATCCCAGTTCTCCTTCATTTTTTGACCTAGTCACAGTATCCCATTTTATTAGATGGCACTTTCTCTTTTCCAAAGTGCTCCCACACAAGAAGTTCCTTTGAATTGTGTCAATATATTTGGGGGTAGCTTTAGGAAGGCTAAAGATTTGCATAACGTGGATTGGTATAGCGACTAGTGTAGCCTTGATTAAGGTAGTTCTACCCACTATGTTCATGTGATTTATTTTCCGACCCCTTAGTCTACTATTGAGATGATCAATGATATATTGGAGTTCCCTTTTTGAGGGGTTTGAGTTCATAATTAGGAATTTTAGGTATTTTCCTACTTTATTAGAGTATCTCATTGATATGCATTGGCTTATATCTTCCTTCTTTTCCAGGGTAGTATTGTTGGAGAAAATTATTTTTGATTTTTGAAAATTGATAGTTTGGCCGGAATAGTTGTAAAATTTGTGTAATGTATCTATTATTGAGTTGCAATTTTTTTGATTGGCCTCTACTAATAGAATTAAGTCATCAGTAAAGAAAATATGCGATAAGTGTGGCCCTTTGTTTGAGATTATTATAGGGTCCCATCTACAACAGTCTATTTCATGATGGATGAGCATAGATAGCATTTTCATGCAGATTATAAATAGGTAAGGTGATATGAGGTCTCCCTATCTAATTCCCCTTGTGGGTCTAAAAATTTCATGTTAGAACCATTTATCAGGATAGAGGTTGATGTGATAGTAACACGGGACATGATTACGTTTATGAGCTCTTGAGGGAATTTTAAGGAGGTCAATGTGAATCCAACGAAGGACCACTCTATTTTGTCAAAAGCTTTTTCGAGATCTATTTTGATCATCATTTTCCCCTTTAGTCCTTTTAAAGTAATTCATTACCTCATTGATGATGATGATATTATCTGAGGCACATCTCCCCTTAAGGAAGCTTGTCTGGGTGGGGTGAATGATTTTTGGAAGGAGGGGTTTGATTGTATTAACTATAATTTTGTAACAGTTTTGTAAGTAGTGTTGCAAAGACTAATAGGTCTAAATTTTTTTATAGTTTCTGCATTTTGACCCTTTGGAATTAAGAAAATATAGGTTTTATTCATTTCTTCTACCATTTTTTACTGCTAAACGTATTTTTACAAAATTCTATTAAATTGTTCTTAGTATCATTCCAACATTTTTGGTAGAGGAAAGAATGGAGACCATCCGGCCCCGAAGCTTTATATGGTTTGAAAGAATAGAGGACCTTCTTAATTTCAAATATAGAAGGTTTTAAACTTAGGTTAAGTTGGTCATTACTATATAGAGTAGCATAATGGGACATAGGGGTATATTTTAAGAGGGAAAGGTCTTGTCTAGTGGTAAATAACTTTCCAAAAAAGTCGGTGATCATTTTCTTTTGGTCATAGTACCAGTTTCCTCCTTTATCTCTAAGACTAAGGATTCTATTCTTTCGTCTACGCTACATGGTAGTGATATGAAAGAACTTTTGTGTTAGCATCTCCCGTATTTAGCCATTGGATGCTTGATTTAAGTTTCCAAAAGTCTTCTTCTAGTTTCAGTAGTCCAATAAAATCCTCTAATAGATTGGCTTCAAGATCCAAAGGAAATTGGCTAGTGGTGTATTTGGGTGAATTTTGGATCTTGTTTAGTTATCACGACCCCAATTTTTCTCTATAGGATGTCGTGATGACACTTAGTCTCTAATACTAGGTAAGCCTGACATTCATGTAGAAATAACTGAAATAATGAGTAAAGTCTCAATAACTCAACAAATAATATAAAGAAACTCTGCAACTCAGTATATACAACTTCCCAAAACCCGGCGAATACAAGTCACAAGCTCTATAAGATGGTACTGAACATCCATATACATCAGTGTCGATAAAAAGATAAGAAAATAAAATAGACTTAGTAGAGGGGAACTCCGAGGCCTGCGGACGACAGTAGGTATACCTTGAAGTCTTCGAAGCTGAGCTCTCGCTAGTGCCTGGACTGGTAGGAGGTACCTGGATCTGCACAAAAAAATATGCAGAAGCGAAGCATGAGTACACCACAACGATACCCAGTAGGCTAAACCTAACCTGGTAGAGTAGTGACGAGGTCAAGTCAAGGCCCTACTGAAATAAATAAGAAATTGAACGAGTAATTTAACAGTGCGATAATAATAACAATGGAAATGAAACAAGTAACAAACATACTAAGATTGGCTACACTGAATAAGACAAATAAAACATCACGGAAGAAAACAACGAATGTTATGACACGGAACAAGGCAACAAAACACAGGTGGAGTAATGGAAAAGTATCAACAAAAGTTACTACCGAGGTACCGCCCGTAGTTTCAAATCACAAATCATTTCATAATCTTTCCTTGTATCACCGCGGGAGCTTTACATTTAGTTTTGAAAATTATTTTTCTGAAATAGCTTCCCGCGTTTAAGCCCACCTTATCATACCCCGTGGCTTCAAGTAGTTCCCCTACTAGCAACACGCTTATCAAGCCCACCTTATTTCACCGCATTCTTTTCAACTCCAAATCCTTATACCATTGCATGCATATCAATATCACAACATATCACAAATCGCACCTCAAGAGCCCAATATCACAACTTGCCAAAAAAATCAACAATAATGGTGTTTTCACAATAAATAGCCCATGGCTCAACTATAATATGCACAAGAATCTCAACAATAACAACCGGAAATGAATAACTCAACAAGAACAATATTTCACACTTTATAACTTTGCCTAAATATGAATCACGATTTTTATAACTCAATACCAATCTTAACAACAAGATATTCCAAGAATGACAACTTCAAATAAAGAATTCACGGTTAGATAATTAATAACGAATGGATGAAACAACAACTTCAACTAAACATGTAAAGAAATTAACAAGTAAGAGATAAGACAAGTAGAGCATGTGAAGATAGCCTAATGATGATGAACATAACATGTTAAGATAACTCAATTAAGGCTTGAAATGAGTCTACATAGCTAAAACCGATAAATTTCCACATTTAGCCCGTGTAAACACTCGTCACCTTGTGTGCACGACTTTCACATATTACAACCATCACAAGAAAATACTAATCCTAAGGAGAAATTCCTGTCACACCTCCTTTTTCCGCACCCGTGAGGGTACAAGGGAGTTTTTTCAATTAAAGGACAATCGAAACGGGATTTGTTTATTTATTTCAGAGTCGCCACTTGGGAGATTTAGGGTGTCCCAAGTCACCAATTTTAATCCCGAATCGAGGAAAAGAATGACTC